TCCGGCACTCTGTGTCAATTCTCCGACACTCTCCGGGACTCTACGGCACTCTCCGGCCCTCTCCGGCACTCTCCGGCACTCTGCGGCAACTCTCCGGCACTCTGCGGCAACTTTCCGGCACTCTCCGGCACTCTCCGGCACTCTCCGGCACTCTGCGGCAACTCTCCGGCACTCTGCGGCAACTTTCCGGCACTCTCCGGCACTCTCCGGCCTTCTCCGGCACTCTGCGGCAACTCTCCGACACTCTCCGGGACTCTCCGGCACTCTGCGGCAACTCTCCGAAACTCTCCGGCACTCTGCGGCAACTCTCCGACACTCTCCGACACTCTCCGGCACTCTCCGGCCCTCTCCGGCCCTCTCCGGCCCTCTCCGGCACTCTGCGGCAACTCTCCGGCACTCTCCGGCCCTCTCCGGCCCTCTCCGGCCCTCTCCGGCACTCTGCGGCAACTCTCCGGCACTCTCCGGCCCTCTCCGGCACTCTGCGGTAACTCTCCGGCACTCTCCGGGACTCTCCGGCACTCTCCGGCACTATGCGGCAACTCTCAGGCACTCTCCAGCACTCTCCGGCCCTCTCCGGCCCTTTCCGGCACTCTGCGGTAACTCTCCGGCACTCTCCGGCACTCTGCGGCACACTGCGACACCCTCCGGCACTCTCCGGCACTCTCCGGCACTCTGCGGCAACTCTCCGAAACTCTCCGGCCCTCTGCGGCCCTCTCCGGCACTCTCCGGCCCTCTCCGGCACTCTGCGGCACTCTACTGCACTTAACAACACGCAACAGCACTGTACGGCCTTCGATAAGGCTCGAAAACACTTGAAAAACGCGCGAAAACGATCGATAACGCTCGACAACGCTCGAAAATCGCTCGATAACGCTTGAAAACGCTCGAAACCGCTGTGAAAATTATCGATAAACGGTCGAAAACGTTCAAAAACGGTTGAAAAACGCTCGATATCTCTTTAAAACGCTCGAAACCGCTGTGAAAATTATCGAGAAACGCTCGAAAACGCTCGAAAAGCGCTCGATGACGGTCGATAACGCTCGAAGACGTTCAAAAACGCTTTAGATACGCCTAAAAACGCTCGATAACGCTAGTAGGGAAATGTACAAAAAATCATACACGAAATGACTCGGCTTATATCCGGGGTTAGGTAAGCCTCGGGAGGATTTTCGCAGTATTCGTCTCTCACGCATACTCGTCGAGTGTAGCGCCGAACGCACACATACTCAACGCCTCGACCCGTAGCTTGGCGCTTGGCTGGTTGGGACGCGCTAAGATTTCTAGGAGCGATCGCACTCACACAGATTCGCTGTATGAGGGTTCCGTAGGCGACACCGACGCGTGCCCCAAAGCTCCGCATCACGTTGACTTCGAGGCAACAATGTACTTAATAGTAGTAGATAAGTAGATAAAGTCAAATAGAGCGTCACGACTGTTCTTCCCTTACCATCAAAAGCGAGCAGTATCGGTAAGCGTAGGTAAGCCACCACCGTCAACTGCCGCATGGTATTACCATCACGAGTACGTGAGCCGCCAACGGCGACTAGTAGATGGTACCGCCGTCGCGAGTGCGCGAGCTCCTATCAGAAATTCGTTGCGCCGCCCTTGGGGGCAAAAAACGGTGAAAGCTAACTTACGAAACCAGATGGCAGCACTGGATGCGATCACACGATCCTGTCCGTAAGCAATCTCCCAACTCATCTCTGGTTTTATTCTATCCTGTTTCGTTCAAGCGTCATAAAGTTCTTTGGCTCGCCATTGGTTATCGCCAACTAGCCAATCAACGTGCGTCTATGGCAGCCATGTTTCCCCGCGAGATCCAAATCTTCCACAAATATTTTACAAACCGTCTAAAACTTGGATACACAATCAGTGGCGTTGACTTTTATTAAATTTACGTCCCTTGATAAAAAGACATTCACTTGTACTTCTACTTATAATCGGGTGCTTCTAATCGGCATCGAAACTTATTAGCTGCATTGTATTTACATTATCATACATTCCCAAGAGATTCTGACAAAGTAAAGGTATCGGTAGCCCTACCTACAACCTAGGAGACTGTGAAAAGAAGGTACCGCAGTTCCATTTCAATCGCGTCCGAGAAATAAACGCAGAGAAGAGCTTATTTAAAAAAGTACCTCAATACATAACTTTTATTAAGGTATACACATGCTGATTTATTGTTGGTTTGTTTTTTTTTTATGATAATAATTATCCTATATTTATCTTCATATAGCATGAACCGAGCTTCATAGGATATTCAATTGCCAAGATCGTCGGTTGGCCCTATTATAAAATAGAGTTGATATACATATTTACATTTTATGTACAGTCTCATTCGCGACGAGCGCACGACATCTTGCTTAACTAAACAATTGCACGTCTGGACTCCGATGTTGGTCTTAGGTGGGTTTATCGTCAACTGCCTGGAAACCTCTAGCGACAAACTCAATTTCTACGGTCCAAACATCTCCCTCTCCGTTATTAATTTCATAACCCTCCTTCCTAGACATAGAGTCGAATTAAAAAATCTTAACAATAAAACGTCGAAAGACCTCACCAAGGAGCGATACTTAATCCAATGATTCGCTGTTTGGTGGTAACACTTTATCAGCTAGCGACAATAAACATAAAAGCACGACTCTAATCGCTCTGTACTTCCTGAATTTTGCTAAAAGATTAAATAATAGAATGAATGGAAATAAACAGAAAGGATTATTCCCGGTCAAATTCATCGTCAACAACGGTTTGCAATGCAAGTCAAGCTTTGCACTTCAAGTCAGGCAGTCTTATTAAGCATTGCTTCACACCACTCCCTAGTACATCCTCGAATCCTATTCCTTGCCTGCTTTCATGCGTCTCGAACAAAAATTCCAGCTAAGCGTTGCTAACGATTTAACAAAATTCTCCATATGATCACAGATACAAATTACAAACGCTTCTAAACCCGAATCAATAGTTACATCTCTTATCGTCTCGGTCATTAAATATAAATGCAGCAGGCAAGTCCAATATTTGACCAGTAAAATGATCAGCGATTCCTAGAAGGCATCTTCACGTTACTTTCGATAGGTACTGAATTACTAATTACAATTAATTTAAGTTTGCAAAACGTGCAAACTATCGCAATTACCTCACAGAACGAAAAGTGAGGAAACAGCTCGGTACATCGAAACGTACCAGGGAGCGGTACAAAGAACCAACATCGATCAGTCTTGATATTGGAATTACCAATAAAGATCACTTCATACATTGCAAAGTATATAAATATAGAAGAATAACAACTAAGATCCGTAACTATTATGTTATAGTAGATAGGTAATAGTAGTAATCGATAGGCCCGTTGCGCGAGTGATTGAACGCAAATAAATACGGGCCGGCACACTTATTACACTGGACACTGATTCGCGACACTCTCCCTCGCACCTCTCATGTAAAATAGTCATTGTAAAAAAAAACCACTTACAACGATTGACACATAAAAGAGTTTAATATTTTTTTTCCGTATAGTATCGATAGGTTAATTACCTTCTATGCAATGTTTAATTACTATTAGTTGGCAAACGTGTTTCACTGCGTGGGCTCCGCGTCCTGAGACGGGCGGTGCCCCACTTGAGTAATAACAACTCGTTTTTTATTTTGCATCCCCGTCGACGAGCACCCCTAACCTCAATTACCATAAGTGGTTCTGCGGTCTCGGAAGTCAGAGTTTCAGGACGGTAACACAAAAAAAAATAATAGAACCCACCCTAAAAGCCCGTCCCGTCGGTGCACTCGACGACGGACCGATTCTCGAGCTCCGCCTCGATGCACTTCGCCGATCGAATTCGAGAAATACGCTCCGCAAATATTGCGGATAAAACACAAGCAGTCCGACTCGACTGCGCATTCCTAGGTGAGAGATAAGTCGCAAGCGAACACACCAGTCGCTTATGTACAAACTAGCACTTCTCTTCGACTCCAGCTCGAGGATGATCGAACTCGTCAGCCATCGAGTCAACCGAGGCATTGTCAATGCAAGTGCAAAAGGTTCCAACCCCGGACTCACATCACGGGCCTTCGCACTCTTACTATGATTGTACAGGTCCAAGCGATACGAAGCTAAGGGTATTAATTATTGCGTGGAATCAGTGTTCCGAAAGGAAAAAATATTTGCCTAGTTCTCGATCCCTAACCCTTCGGCATGCCCATCCATGAACTGCGAACCAACGTTCCAACCTTCGACGTTCCAAGCTCAAACAAGACTAACTATCGACTAACAATTTTAGTGTAAAAGCGCCTTCGAAGGCATCTCGTCGAGAACTCATAAAGCAGGTGCATGGAGAAAGTCACCAGACAGGCGTTAAAAGAATATCTGTTACGATATACATATATATATATAGATAGGTCTCTAGATGTATATATAAAATTCACCATAAAGAAAATGGCTTAAAACAGTGCCGTCATTTTATGACTGATAAGCGTCGATTGTCAAGAAACGTAATCAAAACAATAACGGCGAGGCGCTAACAGAACTTAGCACGTCCCCTTGACGGCATCTCGGCCGTCAAGGTTAGGTTAGGTGGAATCAATTCGTTTGGAATTATCTAGTCGTTCAATAAAAATGGGCCGGTCGTCGAGATTCTCACGATGCGATCATGCGAACGGACGAGCGTGCCTATTAAAAAGAAACGAGACTTGTACTTACTGAACCCCATACGCTTTAAGACTACATTCGTCAACGATCGCCCCGATGTCAGTTTGAAAATAGAACCCCTTACGTAATGCACATTTAAAGGAGACTCTAAATCTAATCTCATGAACTAATTAATCGAGGCCTAATCCTACAGTCCTCGGTCGATTAATTAATGGGACCAGCCACTGGACCAACTCACCGAAAGGTACTCTCGACACAAACCACTGATCCAAACACAACCTCCTTTTCACCCCGAAGCGATCATCGACGTGTTCCTCGTCTCAACCCGCGTACAAAATTCTCCGAGACAGAGTCCAAGCCTCGTAGACTCATCAATCCAAGCCAAAAGATTGAAATTAATTCTCCGTATTTACAGGCTCGCGGGCATGGTGGATCCTAACGTGCTTATTGTGGTTCGACTTGGTGCTACTCGACTTGCCGCAGATGTGACAAGTATACGGCCTGGCGCCCGAGTGTACGCGCAGGTGTTCCTTAAGGTAATAAGAGCGGTGGAAAGTCTTGTTGCACACGTCACAGGTATACGCCTTGTTCTCCTCGTGCTCCTTAACGTGTCTTAGGCAGTTGTACTTCCGGATGAACTGGGCGCCACAGTAATTGCACGTGTACGGCCGAACGTTGCGATGGGAGTTCATGTGGGCGGTGTAGTCGCTGTGTCGGTAGAACGCGGCGCTGCACTGATTACACTTGAACGGCTTAGTACTACGGGCCGCGTGGGTCCACTTGTGAAGTTGCAAGTTCCACTTGGTGCTGAAGGCCTTCGAGCACACCTGACACTCGTAGGGCCTTTCCCCGTTATGCACTCGCATGTGCACGGCAAGGGAGGAGCGCAGGTAAATGCATTTGCAAATCGGACACTCCACGTTCTCGCTCTCCCTCTGGGCATCAGGGACGAATCTCCTGTTATGGGCTCGCCTCATGTGCCGAGTCAGACTAGCCATGTGTATGAACCTCTCGTTGCAGTAGGTGCACGCCTTGGGCTTCTCATCGTGAGTCTCCTTGTGCCAGGCGAGCTTCTTCTTGGTATGGAACACCTCACCGCAGTGGCATATATAGTCCTTAAGTTTTTTTTTTATGTTCAAGTGGTGCCTGTTCTTGTGCTGGGTGAGATTAGAATACCTGCGGAAGGTCTCGTTGCAGAGGTTGCACTTGACCGGAGCATTTCCAGTGTGGCCATTTGTGTGCTCGTCGAGCTTCTGCTTGGTTAGGAAGGCCTTATCGCAGACCGTACAAGGGAATGGCTTGATACCCAGATGACGTTTCATGTGGAGCTTAAAGTTCTGCTTCCTGTAGAAGTACTTGCCACACTGGCTGCACTCCAGAGGGTGGATCTTCAGGTGAGCGTTGAAAAGCACTACCGAAGGGAACTCTTCGTTGCAAATCTGACACTTGGCGGTGTCGCGCACTCGTTTCGCCATTTCGTTGACGTGCATCCTCCGGTGGTGTATTTGGAGAGACTTCTCGCTGCTGAATCTCTGGTTGCACATGGTGCAGGTCACCTCGACGACAGGTGGTATGACGAGGCTGTCGATCTTCCGGTCGGCGTCGCCCTTTGACAGGTCCTGCTGCTGCGGAGGCTGCAGCTGGTGCAGAAGGGGTTGCTGGTGGTACGTTTGTTGCATGTGCAGCCCTGGCACGAAGATGTCCTCGAAGACGTTCATACGACCGTCCAGCAGTTTGATGTCCTTCACTTCGGGCTGCTCAGTGGGGTCTCGACTGCTGCTGGGCCCTGCTTCCTTGTGCACCGTTGTAGCATGGACTCTGCGTTCCTTAGGGCAGTCAAACACTTCGCTGCAGTGGGGACACTTGTACGTACGCTTCGTCGGGGTCTTTCGATCCCGATCCAAGAACAGGCTGGAGGTGAAGTGGGTCGCCAGCGAACGACTGTCCAGCAGAGGCCCGCCAATTTCGTTGTCCGAACCCTCGGACTCCTCCCAGCTCTCCCTTGCCATCAGGTCGTACGAGGTGGACATGCGAGATGACTCTTGGCCCATGTAGAGCTGCGAAAAGGCAAGTAAGAAAGCATTTCAATTCTTATCCCATCCGTAGAACAGGTTTCATCGGTGAAGAGGAATCTTGTCAACATACAGGCTTTTGTTCACTTGCTCTGACGACAGACAAAAGATTCCCCATTCCCAATTTGTGTATCGCAGAAAAATGTATGCTTCATTCTGTATAATTGATTCGATAAAATAACAAAGAAATACCTGAAATAATTTTAAAAGTCCAAACTCCACCCTGCGGAGATCTACTCTCGATTCCTTTGTTCCTTTTAATGAAGTTACGGATGACATCTTACCTGCCATGCCGAATGTTCCGTACAGCCGTTACTCTCCTGCTCGGACAGCTCACCCCTGGGAGGCATTGTCTCATCAGCCCTCATGTTGACACTTTTAACCTCCTCGTCTATCCCGGCACCACCTTCGCTGCTGGCCATCGACTGCTGGCTCGTCGCACTCACTGCCTTCTGGGACGACTCGCTTATAAATGTACTAGGAACTAAGATCTGGAGACCGTCGAACTCAAAGACGTTCATCGGTCCCGCGTGGGCATCCTCGTTGATGTTCAGAAGCTCCGTGGTAGGTTTCTGGAGGATCGACTTTCCAGGCTGGAAGTTCTTCGACTCGAAGCTCGTTGTTGGGTCTGTGGACTCCGACAGATTGAGAAGGTTACGCGGGCTCCTGACACTTCCCATTGTGTACGTGTCCTGGATGATAAGGGGTGGCTGCGAATGGATCACTGGGAAGGAGCTCTGGTGTTCGGTGATGACAGACTGATGGTACGCTCTCACTGTCTCCAATTCCTTGGTACTGTTCGTGCATTCGGTAACCTCATCTCTGGTGACCTTCGCTTCATGCTCCAGGTGGGAGCAATCAATGGGGTCCTTCTCCGCAGACAGGTCGTGGTTGGTGTCGTTGCTCTCCTCGTCATGACTCACACTGTCGGTGTCCAGGTGGCAGAAGGAGTGCATCGACGCTGGGGAGCAAGGCTTGCTCAAGTCGGTGCGCACTCTCAGCACCGAGATGCCACTGATCGTCGACAGAGGAGTATGAGATCTAACTCTATCTGAACCCTCGCTCTGCTTGACGTACGGAGTGTGAGGGCTGGTGATTTCTTCGATCTCCATGTCCTCCTCGTCGAAGTTGTCCTCCATGTCGTTTTTCTCATCGTCCTCGTCGTCCTCTTCGTCGTGCAGTGCAGCTGCATCGAAGCCCATCGGGTAGATCGTAAGGTTCTCGTTGAACCCGAATTCTGCGTGGACGGAGTACGTCCTGTGTGACTTCTTCGGCAAAACCGGCGACGCCGGGGCGGACAGGCTGTGTTTATACCGATAGGTCTGGTCGAAATTCTCCTCCCTGACGTAAACGCAGAGCTGCAACATCGACTGCCTATCACCGTCATCGGCGTCGTCGGGCCTCTCGTTGTCCTGGACTTCAGGGTAGGTCAAGGCATCGCAGTTGTCCTGCGCCACGTCACCCGGGATCACCGTCTTCTCGATGGTGATTTCCTCCTGGTCCAGCATCGACTTGTCCTCTAGGTCCTCCTCGTAATCCTTGGATCCAGGAGTTGCCTTTTCCTGAGCCTGGGTGGTGTTGAATTCGGACTCCATGATGGTGATCAGCAGTCTCTCCAGCTGCTCAACCTCTGGCTGGTTCGTCTCCTTCGGCGCTTCCTCGTTTGCCACCTGTAACTGTATACATACGGTGTCCACCGCGTCGCTCCTCTCCGAGGAGCTGCTCTCCGTCTTTTCCTCCTCGTTCTCCACGTCGATGACCGGCGACGTGACCCCGTCGGCGTCGTTCTTGTCCTCGCTCTCGTACTCCTGGGGAAGTAGCTGCTCTCTGGCACGTTCATACTGCACTTGCTTGCACTGCACTTCGGTAGACACCATCCCCATGGGGTCGTCGTTGTCTTCGATATCCGGCAGGACGCTTTCGGCTTTACTGTCGTCCACCATATGATTCTCCACCATGATGGATTCCGTCATATCCCTGTACTCATTCTCCCGTCCCATTTGTTCCTGAGGGGTGGAGTTCTGCGTCTGTTGCCCTCGATGCTCCACATGAACTGTGGACACCTCGACGTTTTCCAGCCTCCCCGACATCTCCTCCTGGGGGACTGGACTAGAGGGAAGTTCGATATCCGGCAGAACTCTCTCCGTCTCCGTTTCCGATTCCGGCAGGATCTCCGGAAGAATCTGCTTAGGCTCGCCTCCCCCGACAGACCCTGTGCTCCTCGATCCACCATCCTCCCCCGTCATGACGGGCCTGATCCTAGTTGTGGCAGCTGGAATGGTCGCGATAGGCGAGATCATCTGTACCGTAGGGATCTGCTGCTGCTGATACATGCCGTACGGGTTATACAGCATCTGCATCATCTGATTGGCTTGTGGAGCCATTGCGTACTGTGGTATCATCATGGTGCCATTATTGACGAACTGCTGGTAGCTGAACGAGGCAAACTGTGGCGGCATCATCGTGCCGATGGGAGGGCACTCGAAGACGGGACCTATGGGGTACGGAGACTGCGTGGAGACGTGCGGACTCTGGGTTACCTGCGGCCCGCCCGGGGAGGTCTGCATCGAGGGAGTCGGAGGTGGCTGCGGAGGTGGCTGAGGAGGCTGCGCCAAGGTCTGGGGTGTGCCGGTGCTGGCCTTTATGAGGGCCTCTATGACCTGTTCCTTGGGGTGCGTGTCAAGGTGCCGCTGCAGGCTGATGCCCTCGCGCAGATAGAGGGTGCAGACCGGGCACGCGACGGCCCCTCCGGAGAGGAGCGGCCCTGGCGGGGCACCCGCGGCGCCGACGTCCATGTTCGAGGCTGGAGAGGGTCCCTGGAGAGGGGCTTACCTTGGAGTGGCCACCGGTCGGGGGAACGCCTCGACTGGGAACGCCCGACGCGTCTCTTTGCTCCCGGGTGTGCCTCAAGGGTCCTGGTGCGAGGGTTCTCACATCGCGGGCCCTATCAGGCCTCTCGCAGCGTGCGGACACGGCTCGCCCGAGACGGTGCGGGCTGTGCCCGGAAAGTATCGACGTCCATGGCTGCCTGGCCGTGCGTGGTGCGTCCGACCAATGTGCGACGGGGCCAGCTCGGCACTCGCGCGGCGGCGGCGGCGACGGCGGCGGCGGCGGCAGCAGCGGCGGCGGCGGTGGCGGCGGTGGCGGCGTCCGACAGATCGATACCCTGTTAAATCGGCAGCCTCCCCTGCGCTTATTAGATTACACCTGCACGCTCCGCGGGAGCGCGGCTCGGCCTAAGGGACGCACCGGAATCCGGCCACTCTTCCGCTGCGATCGATTAGCGGGACAACATGCCGCAAGCCCAGTCCCTGCCCGAAAACACAACAGATAACAGGCGAGCGAGACAAGGCTCCCGCGGGGAATGAGAGCAACGAGACGGCTCACCGCGAGCGTGGCGGCACCTCGCGTCGCTGCCCGAGTGCGAGCCAGCGCGACCCTCCGCGACCCAGTGCCGCCGACCGCCGTGCTCCGAGCGCCGCCGGCCCCTGCCGAGCCGGCCCGAGCTGACCCGAGGCGCCGCCGCCAAGGCCGAATGCCTGCCCGAGAGGGCCCGAAGACCGCCGAGAACGCCCGAGCGGCCCGAGCTGCCAACGTCCTCGGCTGAGGAGGTCCACTTAGCTCGAGCGGCGCCTGCGCTCGGAGAACTAGCGGCCAGTGGCGCTGCCCGCGACTGGAGGCGGTACTACGGTCTTTGGTGCTGCCGCTATTCCCTTGGAGTACGAAACACTTCAATCGAGAACTAGCGACCTTAGCAAGGTAATCCACCTGCTTTATCAGGTACCGTGATTCGCCTTCCGTTGATTATTTTAAATTCTCCCTGGAAAATTTTCTATTTATTTACCACACGATGGTAATATCCAATTTTCTTGGTTTGGCGTTTATTTGAAATTTTCCCTCGAAAATATCGCCATTTTTATGACATTTTTCTTAGACTTCTGGGGATTTTAATAATTTTTGTGAGGATACTCTAATTAGCGGTACGCGTGGTACCTGGAGGAATTAATATCGAAAATTAGGGGAATGTCATTTAGCCAATTGTTAACGGGATTGGAGAAGAAAATTATGTTTATGCTCGCAAGGATCAAGAGACGGAAGCTCTCGTCGTGGAGCAACGATTCGTGATTTATCGTCCAGAAGTCGTAATTGGAAATTGTACGATTATCGAGCAGGGCATAATATTCGATAGCGAACTGCTGGTAATTGATGTGCGACCCTCGAGACGCATTCGCAATTCATTTATGTAAACGCGCACGCAATTACTGTAGTTACCCCCCGCGTCACTTCGGATAACCGGACGATTCAATAACCCGCAGTACCACAGAGACATCGAAATCGGACTAAACCCCCGAGTGTGTGCAATTCCAGATGGAAACGCGTTCGATTTAATATAATAGAACGCGACAGGAGCAATTAACATCGACGGATAAATATGTTTTCCGACAGGAAATAAACCAAAATCCCGACCGAATCGTTTTCACGATTTGTTCTCGCTTTCCTTCCTTCCTCAGAGAAAAAAAATAAATAAAAAAATTAGGTCTCGCTTCCATTTACATTTTTTTCCCGGCAAAGTCCGTGCCCTTGCATCGGAATAAGGATCTCCTTTGACATGTAAAGGGTAATCGCCGGTGAAATTTCGAGGTAATTTAATACCGAGCGTGATCGCGAAAAGGCGGGGCACTTTTTTTTCCCCTTCTCTTATGTTTTTTTTTTCTCCCCTCCTTTCAGGGTAAATGCAAAGTGCAGTATGTGCACGTCGTGTCGAAGGATCGTTTGCCTTTGGCACGACGTGCCGTTTCCTTTCGAATGCGAGGAGCTAATTGGTGGGAAAATATCCGGATAATGGACACTCGTTATGTTTAATGAGCCCAATGGCTCGGGAATTTGATGTTTCGCCCTGCCCGGAAATTATCACGCGCGATGGACTTTTCGCAAATGCGACAAATAATTAATATTTACCGGCGGCTGCTGCGCCGAATTTCCAATGGAGGAAAAATTATCCACGGGGTGTTTGGGCATTTTCCAAATTGGGTTCGCCACTTCATTCCTCCTGGCTTGAGCTTCTCACGGAAATACTTGCGAAAGAGAACTAGGGTACTCCACTCGGGGGAAAACTTCCTAACGATCGAACTTTCGGCCGCATTTTGAGCCACTTTTTGTTTTTTTTTCCGCGTAATTATCGTGAGTGCCGATAGAGCGGAATTAAATTAAAAATTTCGATCGGACGTCAATTCGAGTTACGTTCGGTTTCCAGGTTTTTCTCTCTCTCTCTGCTTTTTTTTTTCTCCAAGCGCACTCCGGCTTTCGTTTAATTGTTGCAATAAATTCTGTAACTTTCCTTTTTATCGCGACCTATATTTCAGGGGAATCAAGGGACTCCAGCAAAGGTGTGCAATTAGACGGAGGTGGGATTTCGGCGGATCCGTATCAACGATAAAGAGTGCAAAAGTTTATATGCATTATGCGATTCGCGAGAAGTTCATCTCCGTCTTTCCGCGTCCGACAATGCGCCCCGCGGAAAACTTTTCGTGTAATAAACTCGGAAGTGCTCCAATTCTAACTCCTCCACCCCGGGGAACCTTTACCGAGGGCACTCCAAACTGCCGTTCGTTCGAGACTCTGTAGAAATGTTCCTGGCTCATATTCGAGAGCCAACTAATTATAAAGAAATGTCTGGACACCCAGGAGGCACCGCAGAATATTTCGCAATTTTCCCTTCAACGCCTTAAACATCAATAATCGTTTAATAACCTTCCGCGGGATTGGGTTAATTTCGGACGATGTTCGGGAGATTAATTCCCACGGTGATGATCATTTTCACGGCGCCTTAACCGCATCGAATCATTTTCAACGGCGATCTCGCGGATCTCGCGGCATGGGACACGGAGCCTTAGGAATGCATCTCGATTCGATGCACATCCAGAAACTCGACGCGATTATTTAGCTCCTGCAGTCCGTCGCGTCCGTGACACTAATTCTATGTCGCTGAGCGCCAATTGCGATGGGCCTCGATCCATCGTGCCATTTTTGCATAATCTCCAGAGCCGAGAGGAGACCCCTAAAGGCGATGCAATCGCCGCATTGGATGTGCAACGTTATCATTATCCTCTCACTTTCTAGCAGCGCACGTAGCTCGAGATTCTTCCGGGAGAATGGAGCAGTACATCTCGCTACGAGCCGTTCATTAATGGGCCTCGTAAAAAACTCGGCCCCGAGATGAATTCCGAGATTAATCGAGCTGCATGCCGGTCGTTTCCGAAGGTGCAGCTGCATCGAGATCTCTCCTTCCAGTCCTGCATTTTTGGTTCCGATCGGCCAGCGTGACCTGCCAAATCGATTGAAATTAATTCACATTCTCAGGGTATTCTCAAGGTATTCAGGTGGGAAGTGTTGATAAGAGGTCAATGCTTACAAGGACTATAAACCCTCGAACGGCGACTCCTCCTATTCCGCCATCCTCTTTCAGGAGACATTTGGCTCTGGACGGGTTTATCGGGCTTTTAGCACAGCCTGGAACGATCTCCCTTCAACCGGATGCTGTGCTGGACCGCGTCGTTTGCAAGGTCCTGCTCTGGGCGGCCATCAAAAGCCGCAGCTCCGTTCTCGCGAGCAATCTCCTAGACGCCATCGCACTTTGCGCCTATCGCTTCTTCCCTGCATCTGCGTGAGAACTGTTCACGGTTAATACTACACCTCTTATCGTATCAACTGATAAAAATATATACATGTAGTCGCAGTAACCGGGAGGAGATCTTATTCTATTCCTGACGCCGTGGTCCACATCCTTGATGTCCTCGTGGACGTTGCAGAGTCCTGGCGCGTAAAAGTCTTATTTCGGGGAGAGGCTACCTTTCGGGCAACTCGGATTCTTTGTGCACCCTGGAGGGCAGATACGATATCGAGTCTGCTTTTCAGAAATGACCTGACCGCATGAGCGAGCAACTCGACAAGTGTCTTCGCGAGGCATCGGTAATCGATGCCGTCCCAGAATTCGAGGGCCTCGAGATTCTGGACCGAGTCCTTTGGCGAGCGACTGAACTCCCCGCTCTGCCAAACTCGAGACTCACTTGTAATTGAATTGCCAGGACACAGAGGGTGGAGTTGTACTTCCGCTGATTTAATTGATCCCAAAGATCCGCCGATCGCGCCAAGATTCGCCCCTCGAGTTCGCCTCTTCTCGGGGAGATCTCGATTTTACTTAACATGGGATCCGGCTGCGAGTCCCAATTTAATTTACCTGTAATAAATATCATGTAAAATACATTTTTCCTTCCGTAATATCCCATATCAAAGGATCGAGTCTATCACAGTAATTACGGTTTAATTACCGCGTAAAGAAAAATTAAAAACCAGGATGAGTAGCGACGAGCCTCGTCGACTTTCTCTTGGTGATCATTTTCGTCAGCCTTGATTTATTCGGCTCGATTTTTATTTCGCTATAGATGTCCGCGAAGAAATAAGAGTTTTCGCTCCTGAGGCTTCACGCCATGTTGCCGGTGACGGGAGGCCAAGAAATCTTGAATTTTATCGCAGATAAAATTCACGTATATCCGTCGTGCAGGTCTTCTCCTTGGGTTAACCGATTGTCCGCGCTAATTAAACGGCGTTGTTGGGAATTTTTCTTCTCCCCCGATTGCATCGATTTCTACATTACGTCGAGCAGCGTTCCGCTCACCTTAACTCGATGAAGATCCTGTGACCTGAGAAATCGGTAAGAAATGATTTGAGGAACTCCTGGAGAGAATGACTCTCTTGCTCGGACGACGTGACGAGCTCTGATGCAAATCGGCGAGGGCAAAGAAAAAGAAGCAAGGGAAAATAACGGAGAGCTCGCACACGGTTTCTATTTCTTGCGCTCTGGGATGCAATAAATTGCACTGTCGAAATCGTCATTGGGAAATCCCTCGGGTTAACGGACGAGAACGAGAATCGCAAAGATACCATGTCAGTGAAGAATGTCTTAAGGCTCCTCTAACGACCCAGCTGGGTCAATTAAACAATTAACGCGGCCACATCAAACAGAGGACCTATTATCTCCTACTGTTCCTTTTTAAATGTAAATATTACCTTTTAGGTATCTTCCATCTTTTTCAAGGATCTCTCCTCTGGCGCACGTTCTCCATGAATTGAGTATGCCAAACACATGGCGTTCCAGATTCTCGCACACTGTACCAAGAAGTGCTTCAACCTGGAATCGTCACGTGCACATATAACGAGGTTAACTTAACGACAGGTTTGCAAGTAGCATAAATCAGTACCATGTGTCGTAAAATTACCCAAAAACCGAAGAGACATATCGAAGAAGCTCGCCTTCGATTTCATTGCACCCACGTGCAACCTGAAAGTACCATTACAAAATGTCTTAACTTCCAGAAATAATAAATCACCTCGAAAGTTCAACGATACCCTATTGTTAACCGCTATTGTTAAAATTTCATGAATAGACATGAAGAATATACCCCGAGGAAAAAAATGTTTCTCTCTGAAAGGAATTATTTTCCCTGAATGGAGTACAATAAACCGCGGCAAAAAATCAAAGAAATCTAGTCTTCGCTCCGAAATGCCGAATTTTTAATTTCCAATCTTAAGTATTCAAGAAGTATTAACATTTCTTTGAACGGAAAACTTTCCTTGGGGTAATTACGTGTGCTTTCCACCAAAACTGTTATTTGACTCGAGTGAGTATTATTCGAAGAGGTTTGTTCCTCAGGGTATTATTGACTATGAATTATAATTCCATAAAAATTAGTGCCAAGGTCGTATTCTGTCAAGACTTTTTAGCCAACCCAAAATTAGAATATCTAATTCGAGAGGAGCTAAAAGGTCCGAGTCGCATTTCGTGTCCAGGAATCCCCCGAGGTCGATCGTCGATCGATCCGCTCTCGCTTGTCGGTAAGTCGAGGCATCTCCTATTTTTTCTCCTCTTCAGCTTCATGAAACAGGCTTTCCAGCTCGAGAGAAACGCGATCCATCGGGTCGATCGGGCACGAACGCAGCTACAAGACGTCCCACCATGGCATTAAGAAGCACTTGCTTAGCTGCGAACGATTTCCACGTGCTCTCGCACGATTTCCATATAAACGGGGGACGAGGTCGACCCTGTTGGAAGGTAGTAAATCTCGCAGGTGAAAACGAGGAGCACCGTCCGATTCCTCGGTGACGTTATCTCAGAAGGAAGGATCCGAAGTAGCCGAAGGAGGCACGAAAAAGGGTGAACCCAATTCATTCAACCCTCCACACAGAAAAAAAAAGAAAATTGTACATGGTCCAACCATAGAACTATGGCTGTAACACGGTAAGAAAAAAAAACCTTTCATTGAACCAGAGAAATATTATATTAATATATTTTCTAAAATTAACGAAACAATTTAATGAAAACACTGCGATCGATTTGAGCGACGAACTAAAATTCGGTTAACTCGAGTGAGGAGTTCTTTGAAATTGACCCAATTTTCTTTTTTTCTGCGCGTAGGGAGTTGTCTAGGGAATTTTCCCTAGGGAAACGAGGAGATCTGGGATGGCGACCGATCCTTAAACGCACAGGACAGCCGCTCGCACGGATCGTTTAACGCTCTTTACGAGGACGTATCCCGGCGTATCCTGGCGTATCCCGACGTTCCCTCAACCCCTAGGAGTCCTTCTCCTCCCGGTACATTGACTTCCTCCCCGGTCGACATCTTGCCCTCCTCCGGGCACTTCCTGCGAGCTCCTTCCTCCCGCGAAGGGAGAAAGCGATGGAACCTCCTCGGGGCCGTTTAACGACCCGGAAGACAGCGGGAAGGTTCGCTTTTCGTTTTCCCTCTCGTTCGCTCTAACGTGGGATTCCCTCCCAAAGGATGCAGCGTTCCTCCTCCTTTCACTCTTTCAAGTGACGCGGGGCTTCTCGGATTTCTTGCCTCCCATCCGGGCAGGCTATCCTTTTTATCTCCCATGTACACCTGAAGTTATATATTTCATGTATATACGAATTACATATATAATCCCCCACGAAATTCAGAGGTTCCTCGACGACAATATGTATATAAGGTAACGAGAATTTCGTGTCGCAGACGATCGCACAAAAAGTCAGAAAATTTCCACGGAGATTCCCTTGTGTACCCTGTTACAAATTTTTCCAATATTCGAGCACTTTCAGTATATAAGGTTGTAGTAGAATTGAAAACTGAATGTCCTACATGTGAATAAACTTAGTATACCGTGTCTGAATATAAACATCTAAGAAAAAAAATTATAAAATTATCATACTTCTTTTTCGACAGTGTATAAGATGTACCGTGGAGGCCATGTTGAGATTTCAGCGGGTTCTCTTTGGAAAATTTGGATGTATCGCGGTTATCACCGGGGCTGGGATCGATTTTTCACCCGAAACACGGTAGAATCGTTTCGTTCTCCATTTTTTCGCCCCATTTGGTCGTGGATTTCTCACCGAGCAAGGGGATGAAGAGCAATTTACTGGCTGGTCCGCCCTCTCTGAAATTAGCCGACTCGACTCCATTTTCCATTGGGTGGCCGCGCCTTTTCTGCTATCGCGAAATTGCACCTGTCGCGAGGCGGCAAACTTTCTAGGGACATCCGTTCTTCCGCTATCTCCTCGTCGATTAATCGGGATCGGGACGTTAAATACCAGCGAGGCGTTCCTCGGACGACCCGCCCATCCGCGCGAATTCCATCCGACTCGGATCGATGCGTACTCTTCGGTTTTCCGCAAATGGAACCCAGCCTGGAACCTGGAACTCCCTCGATTCGTCTCGTTCCACCCGGAATTGCCCGGGAAATTCTTCCACGGATCTCGTAATTTACCTCTTGGCTCGCCGTAAATCTTTCAGGGCCCCTGGATTATGAAATCGCGCGTTTCAAGATGGCGCCGCCGTTGAACACTACCGAAGAGAGCATTGCAATTTTCTAGCGGTTTTTCGTTCTTTGTTAACATCCCCGAATATATCTCAAGAATTTAATTTAGCATCCATACCTCGGCAGCTTTTATCTGTGGCCTATAATTGGTAACCAATTCAACATAATCCAGAGCGTTTGGATAATGAAATCGCGCGTTTCAAGATGGCGTCGCCGTTGAACACTACCTAAGAAAATATGGCACTTCTGTAACGGTTTTTTCTAATCTTTCTCTGAATGTATCTCATAAATTTAATTTATCACCCATACCTCGGCAGCTTTTATCTGCAGCCTATAATTGGTAACCAATTCAACTTTTCATACATACTTTTAAAAGTGAACACTCCAAGGTGAGGTCGAGTGACGCAAATAGTGAATGCCCACGCATGAGTGTTTTTGGGCGACAGGGAATATCCGCGATTTTGCAAGAACTTTGAGAAAACTCCCACCGCTTGACGGCAATTTATATTCACAGGAAGAAGCTCGGAGCTTTTAAGGGCGTAACTTTCGAAGAAACATGTATGTCCGTACATACAACGCGAAGTTGGGCGTCTATTCATCATGGCGGATTCGAGAGCTTCGAGACTCCTCCCTTTCCGATCAAAAAGTGAAGGCGAAACATCCGTTAAAGGAATAAAAGATGTGGAAAGAGACACGAAATACGCAGAAGAGCGTATAGCCTAAAGCCTAGGACATTTAAAATATATATCATCTTAATATGTCACCTTAAACCACCGCAAGAGGGTTTAGATTTTATAACGGCCATTTCAGACCAAAAAATTGGGCCCTATATACGAAAAGAGCACCCCTGTCGTGCACCTGCATGTCGGGATGCATTTACCGTTTCGCTAACTCGATACACCGTACAAATAAACCGATGCAGTTTCGCAGGAGCGAGTGTGTACCCAGGAGTATAGGGATATAGGGAGTCGCGCCCTGTCGCGAGGTTCGGCCAGCCGGCGGTAGATGGCGGTGGCGTCGCGTCGGGCTCGGCCGCGACGCGCAGCCTCCGTCTCCCGGGCCGGCGGTGTAGCGTTCAGTATGGCTTCGGCCTCGGTGGGCGGCGGGTCTGGTGGGTAACGGGCGGATGATCGATCGGCGGCCACGCGAGGTAACCCGGCTCACGGCGCCTCAGTCGCGGCGCGACCTGCGTACAGAGCGGACGGTACCCTCTCGCCCTCGGGACGCGGCCGTGGCTCCCCTGCGAACGGGGCTCGCCACTCTGCCACTTCCGCGCCGACATGCGGCGCAATGTCAAGATAGTGCTCCTACTGTCGTGCGCGTGGATGTTCGTCTTTGTTTACTACTACCACACCTCGAGGGACACGAAGGTAAGTAGCAAGTTCTTTCACCACGGCGACAGCTGATCGAGGATCCATATAATCTCGCATAACCTCTAATAAGTTCACTTAACCTTTCGAATCCGCCCGCGCTTATCGGCAAATTCGTGGTTATAATCCGATCAGCCGTGGCCGTTAAGTTCAACTCAGATATATGGTAATTAATCGTGCGAACGTTTTTTCAGGGTTAATTATATGGTCTCGGTGTGTACGTTTTTGGAGGGAGGGGGAAATTCAAATCTCGCGCCTTGACGCCGAGACCCGGTTAAGTCGCTCAGGTTAGAAGTTATCGGCCTCGTTATCGGCAACGGCACGTTTTAATCAGCCGACCGCTTCGCGTGATCGCGTGCCCCGAAAAGTTAGCGGCGTTTAACGTGCTCAACCGTTGCCCGGTCGTTAGAACGCCAACGGACCCGTAACTCGAGCCGAGCGAGCGGTCCCTGCTTTACCGGCCGATCGGCTATTAATACTCGCAATCAGCTGATCCGCCTTAACAATTCGCGAGAAGACTCGTTCCTCGTAACCCAAATTCCGGATATCAGTATTCTTTTTTTTTTTTCGTTTTCGAATACTTTATTGCTTTCATATTATATTTTCTTTTTACATTCATCAGGAAACTTAAAGAACGACCCAACATCCGTATAAAATTCATGATTACCTGGGAAATATTTCCGTCGATTTTTATGATAATTTAGTGAATCGCCACGTATCACGTGGCTTTATTAATGTACATTGTCGTTTAACATTCCGTGCAACCCAAATTATACATGTCTGTACTCGCTTTTATAAGGATGCTACCAAAAAATGCGACGATTTACGGCGTTCTCGCGGAATTCCGGTCTTATCAGCTGGCGATAAAGACGGCCCCTCCCCCTCCCGTAAAATTGGCCAATCTCCCCAGCAGCCCCGGAAAACTCTCCTCTCCCTCGTTTACCCTTTTCCACGCCGGGAAGTCTCTTGTCGCGGGGCGTAATTAGCGGCAGGCATTTCGAAGGAACGGAGAAAGATGGGAGAGAGAGAAAGAGAGACGCAGAAGAGCGGAAAGCAGAAGGAAAACGACGAAATTGGGCGCTGCCCCCTCTTCCCGCCGCTTTTCCATGTTATTTTCCCTCTCTCTCTCTCTATATATATATATCCCGTTTTCGCGAAAAAAAGAAAAAATCATTATAAGCGGTGCGCAATTAGCGTGTACATTTATGTATGCCGGAATTACGGGCGGTGAATGCGTTGAAGAATTAAAGTATAAATCGGGCGGATCCGGTGAGACGGATTAAAATTGCCGGGGAAATTAATGAGCCCTACCGGCGGTCATTAATTTTTCATGCGCGTTATTTCGCCCGTTCCGTTTTGCGTCTCTTTCTCTGTTTTCACTTTTTTACTTTTTTTCTCTATTCAACCTTTCGCCGATTTCGAGAATTTCCGTAGAATTTTCGAGCTTCTTCTTCGCGACGAAAAGACGCGTCCTTACGATTATTCGGCCGGGTTTTCGGTTTTCCTGTGGTCGTTCGTTCATTCTTTCTTTTTTTTTTCTCGGGTTTCACATACAGCGGGGGTGTTTCTTTTTTTCCCCCGTGTTTTCCGTCGCGTTTCCCGTCCCCCCACACGAGTCGTCCTTTCATCCTGGCGTAATTAGCGAGACGCGTTACCGCGAGGTCCGAAACCTCCCTTTTGTCAGCGCGTAATTAGGGCCGGTTGTTTCGAAAGGAGCGGTGCCGAGGGGCGGGAGGGGGTGGGGAAAAAAAAAATGGGAGATGGACTTTGGGGGAAAGAGAAATAAAAAGAGGAGAGCGATCTCGCGACTCGAGCTTCCGTGCCATTTTTCCTGGCTCACTGTGGAGAGGGAGGGAGGGTGGATAAAAAAAAAAGAGAGGGGGGAAGTCGCCCCCAAAGGCGTTGCGTTCTCCATTCCGCCTCGCGGATTCCGCGTTTCATCGAATCCGGGATCCTCGGGTCGATCGATACCTCCTGAATTGTGGGGAGGAAGAAAGGTGATTATTCCAGAAATAGGGAAAAAAGATGTAATTCTACGTGACACGGAATATGGATGAGTTAACGTGAGGAGCATTGGAGAGGTATCGATGCGCCGATCGATGTGTATCGCGATTAAATTTTTGGGGATTTCGTTTGTCCGGGATTAATCGTCGTCCTTTAATTTTTATGGAATAATTTACTGGGGTGGGAGGCGAGGGGAAATTCAACGCTTAAAATTCAAGGGCCGACTCCAAGTCTAGGGAATTCCGGGTTTCCTCCAGGCTCCTAGGAGGCGCCTCGACGAATTCCCTGTCTCGAATACCGGGATCGCCGGCTCCGTTTCCGGGAGCACCGGGGTCCCGAGGGAGGACCCCTCCTGGTAGCCAAGGTCCTGCGTTCGGTAATTTCGGGACCCGGTAAACATTGGCTAGGTCCACACGCGTCCCGGTACTCTCCTTCGGACTCCCTCGGGAATCCCCCCCCCCCCCCCCGAGATGATACCCCGGCTTGCCGGCGATCTGCATATGCATATCTCGGGGAGGGATTCGTCAGCATCCCTTGCGGCGGATGGACCACTCCGAGGGATGAAAAGACAGGCGTCAGGCATTCTCAGCTGCGAGAAATTAATCGCAATGAGATGTACAACCGCGGGAAGAAGTGATAATTTAACAGTTTGTCAATTTGCCGCCATTGGGGGAAGTATGAATAGTCCTACGATTTATGAATTCACCGTCGCGGGAGGAAGTAATGATTTTACGGTTCGTAGGTTTACCGCTACGGAGGAATGACGGAATAATTGTACGATTTACATACTATTTATTACTGGGGAAAGAAGGAATGATTATACTGTTTGTAAATCTACCGCTACAGGGAAGGAACGGAATAATATAACGATTTGCATCAATTTACTCAACAATTTACTCCCACGGAGAGGAGGCATAATTTTAGGGAGTACTTTAATTTTTCCAATTTTTTCCCAGCTAATGATGTGGCATTATTTAACGCCATTTTTTTTTGCCTCACCACTGAGATCTTCAGATTTCACTCTTCCACCCCCGTGAGGTACTTTGCGATTTTTTCCCCCATTTCCGTCCCTCCTCTTCTAGCCTCTCCTCCTTATTCCGTATTATCAATCTTCTCCTTTTTTTCGCCTCCGTCAGGAATCCCGAATTAAGGCGAACTCTCTCTCTCTCTCCGTTCTGGAATTTGAGAAAGTGTTAATTGGCCCGTCGTGGGATTTATACACCTCGAATTTGGAGTTCCGACATCGACCATCTCGAGAGGCCGGAGTGGCCTTGAGTTCCTTCCTCTTCAATTCTTTTTTTTAATTCTTTTCTTTTTTATGTAAAACTTCTTACAGCAGTAGGTGTAACTTCACGCGTTACGAGAGGGACGCGTTTCGAAAAGTTAATTGCTTTTTTTCTCGACTTTTTGTTGCTCTTTTTTTTTCGATTGCTTTCTTTGCTCTTGCAGCGCGTTAACTTTTCCTCTTTTTTTTCCAATTTTGTTGACCCCTCTCTTTTTTTACTCTCTTCACGCGCCTCCGTTCTCGGAGCCGGTAAGTGGCCTGGAATGCTCTTAGAAATTGTTACGCGGGAATTACTTTCACCTTTTCTGATTTTATGCCTTTTTTTCTCGGTAAGAGGCAGGGGGACAATTCTTGGGTCAAGAGGTCAAGGCCGCCACGTGGCCTTGAACGCATCCGGGTCCCTGACCTTGGTGATAATTTTTGTCCCTTCTCTCTCTCTCTCTCCATAGACAGGTGAGAGGAAAATTCACTTCCGGGGATCTCGAAGTAGGGGGGGTCAAGAGGTCAAGGCCGCCACGTTTGATATGTAATGTATCGCGGCAATTTTTCCGGGATGATCGAAGGAAGAGAAAAATTGAAAAGGAATTGAAGGAAGAGAAATCCTGCCGCGCTTTTCCGGGACTGCCAATCGGGAAATTGGGGACAATATGTGAAAAGAAGAGAAATTGAGGGGGGCGGGGGGAACTATCCCGAGGGAATTGAGTCGGCTCCCCCTCGTTTCCGGGAGGGTGCAATCGAATGGAATTTTCCGGGATCGCTGCGTTGGGCCTCTCTGGGGGACGTTGTGCTTTTTATATATTTTTTTTTAATATTCCTTTTTTTTTAACCCGGGGGAAACCATCTCGCGGATGTCGGGGACTGGGGACGAAGATATCCTTTTTTTTTTAGGAATTTCTGGACCGAAGGGAAAAGGTGGAAAATGTAGAAAAAAAAATGAAAGATTGAGAAAAAGGTGGGAAAACTTGGAAAAAAAAAGAAATTTATTTCACGTAAGAAATAAAAAAGAGACTCCAAGAGGCTTCGTATATGGACGGAGGCGAGCGGCTCCTTGTCGCGGATCCGGTCCAGGATTACGTAGGATGGTTTCACCGGTTTGAAGAGAGGTGGAGGGAGAGGCTCCTGGATGGAAGGAGAAGGTGCCATGGGAAGAGAGAGAGAGCACAGGAGAAACGAGACGGTTTCTTGACAGGGAGCGGATACCTAATCAGAGAGAGCGAGACGGTCTCTTTAGATAGGAGACACCTTATCATTGAAATCTAGACCGTCTCTTAAAAGATAAGGGACACCTTATCCGAAGACAAAGGACTGCCTCTCGGAAATATCAAGTCTTATCTGTGAAGAGAGGGTCGGGGAGAAAGAAAGCCTCCATAAGGAAGGGGACAGCCTCCGACGGAACCAGTCCGAGTTTCGAGGAGAACGTTCCCCTCGCCAAAAAGAGGGAAAAAAAAAAAGAAAGGAAGAAACAGGAACGAAAAACCGGACACCCGGAATCCGGGAATCGAGCAGCTGCACGTGACCTCTGCCCCCACCTCGTTACACATTCCGTTTCTCTTCGGCTCTGACGCGTATCCCAGGGCCCGGATGCGTATATATGTATATATATTTTTTTTTTCTCGACCCCCGGGAAGAAGGAGATCCTTTTATTCCATTTCCTGTCAGCCGAGAGAGAAAGGGGATATATTAAACATAAAAGGGGGGGGATCGAGCGAGG